AGTCAGAAATTTTGACCTCTCTTCTGTGAGGAGTCTCTCCTTCAGGAAGTTAAACCGGGCGTTCAGTGTCCTACGGAGGACCAAGAGTGGCACCGCCGTGAGCAACGAGACATCGGAGGAGAGGGACAATGCCAGGAACGCCACGGTTCCACAGGAAGGTACGGCTCATGTTCTTCACATCTGCTCTTCACTTTAAACAGTATGTGTTTTTTTTTTTTTTTTGTTCTTGTTCTTGAACTCCTTCTGTTGTATCTGGATGGCATGACGTCACTGCTGAGTTTGCACTGAGTCGGCAGTTTTCTTTGCAGGGCTCCCAGGAGAGTGTGAGCGTGTTCCAAATGTGTGTCTTCACAGTGTTTGCTCGGCTGTACGTTGAGGGTGACGTGGCTGCAGGCCAAAAGTAGAGCAGCAGCATATGTTTCTTTAATAATTCAGCTGAAGATTATGTAAGTCCAGTGGTGGAGGAGCAGTGGACAAAGACATACAGGAGGTCCCTGGAAGTGACACCCTCCACCTCATCTCCATCTCTGTTTCCTCCTCCACCTTCTTCTCCCTTGACTCCCATCGCTGCAGCACTGACAGGGTCATCAGGTACACAGTGGTTTGATGGAAGACTCCGGGGGGAGAGTGATGTTCTTGACAGGGAAGAAGAAGAGGCTTTGCTGAAAAAAAAAGAAAAAAAGATTGGTGTTTCAGATGTCATATACACAGCATGGTGTGAAGAAGAGAAAACATTGGCAACTCACAAAGGACTTGATGTTGGAAGTAGATCCATGGTACGATAAGGAGAAGGATAGTAGTACTGCGTGAGAATAAAGGTTGAGGAATGGTCAGTACTAAATGACTCTCTGTAGAGACTGAGAGAATAGATGAAACACTCATTGACCTCGCTGCTGCTGCTGCTGCTGCTGAAGAGACCAACAGAGATGAAGTGCATCCACGTATCAGCTGCAACATTCAAAAATAACTAGTATTTTTTTATATACTTAAAACCCCCCGGATATTGTAGTGAAAGAATCTACATGAAAGTTGATTTAAATGAAAAGAAAATCGAGGGTGGATGGAAGGTGAGGGTGTGCTACGTGTGATGGGGGTGGAGTTCCATAATGGAGCTGCAGATCAATGCCTTAATGTGCTCTCCACCCATGGAGCAATCTGCTGTGATAAAGACAAAATATTGACTTTGGAATGAAGAAAGTGCAGTGTGAGTAGAAACAACGGCCGTGCCTGTGGAGCTGGAGACCAGAGGGAGAAGGTCCTCTGAGGAATGGGGAAAAGTGAGACATTTTTCATGACAAAAGAGCAGAAATACATAAAATCCTCATCTTCACTATCAATTTTCACCAGGGCTTTATGCCAGAATAGTCTCAGCGGTTTCTCTTCCACATGATACCTTGCAGTTTGGTGCAATTCACCCCTCCTCATGACTGTTAGGGAGTTTCCCAGACACAGAAAACTGTCAAGAAATCATTTTCTTTCAGAAACTAAAGTGTTTTAAACATGACAATTACAGTATAAGCTGTTTTAGTCTCATCAATGTCCACTGTGTTTTCATCACCACTGCTTTATCTTATACATTTATGTTCAACAATCATATTTTCACAGGGGAAATGTTGCATGAAAACAACTTCCTATAATCCACAGTACGAAACTATGCAGAAACCCTGTGTTGTGGTGCTGGTCCCCACCCATGTAATAACTGTGGAAATGTCAAATTGAGTGTTTTCTCAGCATATTAGCCACAGATGTATGTGACTAATGTCAAAAACATCAACCTGGACCATCAGCCAAGTGAATTTCCCCTCTTTCCTCGTACAAGTTTGCTGTTCTCACCTACAGGGATGAGGACAGCTGGTCCCTCTGCTGACCCTCTCCAACATAAACTACTGCACTTTCTTACTTTTTTTTCAACTCCCTCCCTTTCACGCTACAATACTCTCTCACTTTATCTCCCACTTTGCTCCTTTATTATATGGCCATGTATTCACTTTGGATTTTCCACGTCCTCTGTCTTTTTTAGTGCTGGCTCTTCCTCAACTCCATCACCTGATCCCTGATGGTGAAGTTACCAGTATTAAGATCACCCGGGCGGATCCCTCAGAACCGCTGGCCATAAGCATTGTTGGAGGAAATGAGACACCGTTGGTTCGCATACTGATCCAGGATATTTACAGGGAGGGCGTCATTGCACGGGATGGACGCTTACTTCCCGGGGATATGATTCTCAAGGTATTACCAGAACATAGCCGTCATATGTCATTTTTGTAAACAAATATGTACACACCTAATGTAGGTTCATCTTTATCTATACGTGTTACATATTTATGACAACACAGACACAATGCTCTTCGGCTCACTATCAAATGATAAGTATTTGTAGCAAAGAGTTTGTTTTTTCTAAAGTTAAATTCAAATCAGAATGGGATGCAAAAGATGGTCCTAGAGGAATGTGCTAATTAATTTTATCATGCTAAGTCAAGTAACAACAGGAAATCACATAGAAAATGCCCTCAGTGTCACAGCTGGGTTGTGTTCTTATCTGTCTATAAGACAGAATCACAGTTAGTTTCTGGTCCGGTTTTATAAGCAAGAAAACCACATCCACCAAGCAGATGGATTTTAATTACACAATTAAAATTACACTTAAACAAGTTCATTTTGATCGTTTCATTTCACAAAAAAGAACACATTAACTAAAACTGCATTTATCTGCACCTTTGTCACGTCCCTAATTTCAGGCACACCAGTAACACATGGTGGTGCATGAATGTGGCACTAATGCTACGATGCACAGGACGCAGCAGGCGACCTCAGCACAAAACAAAAGTTTAGTAAAAAGTGATGGATGTTTTTAATACATTTCCTGATGTCAGCTTGGATATGAGCACATTTGTGAGGAAAAATCTCAGGCAGCTCAGTACAAAATGTGTTGCTGAGAACAGCCTAGCTATGGAAAAAATGTAGCCAGGCCACAGCTGGGCAGATGACGGGGTTCAGAGGCAAAAAGTAAAATGTTGAATTATAAAACTTTTTTTGTTGTGTCCAATAAAGTGTCTAGAGTTTCTGTTTACCATGATTTCATGATGGCGTCCCAACACCAATAACCAATAAATCATTATTGTTATGTTTTCCTGTAGGTGAACGGCATTGACATTAGCAACGTTCCCCACTGTTACGCCGTAGCGACCCTTAAACAGCCTTGCCAGCTCCTGCGGCTAACGGTGCTCAGAGAACAGCGCTATCGCTACCGTTCCCATGGCCATCAGCACAGCCACGGTCACAGCCATGATGGAGCCGGAGGTCATCCGCCGCTCGGCCTACCCCACCATCAGTTAAGGGATGACAGCATCCATGTAGTCCTGAGCAAAAGCACTCCGGACGAGCAGCTGGGCATTAAGTTAGTGAGGCGTCCAGACGAGCACGGAGTCTATATATTTCACCTGCTGGAGGGTGGACTGGCAGCACGTGATGGACAGTTATGCGTGGGTGACCAAGTGCTGGCCATCAATGGACATGATCTACGTTACGGAGCGCCGGAGCACGCTGCTCTCCTTATCCAGGTCAGAATATTATTAATTGTGTTATTATTTGTTATTTAAAATAATCAGTCTACCTAATAAAGCAGTTTGTAGCAATTAACTGCCAAGTCCACAAGTGTGACACTGAAATGAGTCCACATGTTGGTGTGGACTGTAAACAACGGGCCCCTGTTCTTACATGTGGTCTCTGAGGTAATGAAGATAATTGTAGTGATTCAGGCTAAACGTCCTCTACTCTAATGTTGTGTCTGCACTTAATAGTGTTTAAATGTGGCAATTCCCTCACGGAGTCGGACATGCGACTGCTCCTATTTCCTAGTTGTTGCGAGTCAATAGCAGGGCGTTCATGGCTAATGATGGTTAAATGCAGCATGTTCCTAGTTGGCCGTGCTGGGTCTCAGAGTTCCTGTCTGACCTCGAATGATTGGCTCCTCTGGGTCTCCACGGAGCCGCCATGGCTTCTGAGAGTTGGCACATTTTATCAGAGAACCAGGACTGGAAGAAAATACATGAAATCACTTCAAGTGAGGCAGTGATGGGCTGGAGCAGATAATTCAGATCTGAGCAGAGAGAGGGAAACAAGCAGTGACTGAGTCTGTGTGTGCGTTTGAATGTGTGGACTAACGTCTTTCTGGACTGAAAGAAATTCATCTTTATTCAAATGATTCACACATTTATCTTTGTTTATCTGAGGGCTAAAGCTATGGTTAAATTAACAGCTGAAATCAAGATACTGCGCAGTTGTTCAGATGATCTAAGACTCAGAAGTGCGCAGTTGTTCAGATGATCTAAGACTCCTTTTATGTTGAATGATGAATATTTGTGTTTAAGTTGAAAATGCAAAAATACATTTCAATTTTAGAGGTTGTTGAGAATATTTTTCTAAAAAACAACAACAATATTGTAGTTTTGAGAATGCAGAAGGTCATGGGTTCAAACCCCAGAGGAACTGCATACTTTATAGTAGCCTTTGTAGTTTGTACATTCCCCATTTTTTGATGATTAAGGGGCTTTAATTTTTATTTATTTCGTTTATACATAGACCAACACATTTCTGAACTGGTTCATGCCTCACTGCCAGTGAAGTCTAAACAGCATGTTGTCTCTTTATGGTCTGAAGGCGAGTGAGGAGGGTGTCCACTTCATAGTGTCCCGCCAGATCTGCCTACCGACTCCAGACATCTTACAGGAAGCTCCATGGGCCATGGACGGTCCCCCGCCATATTCTCCAGTGGATATAGAGCAAACACTACTGGTGAGCAGCGCGCGCACGCACACACACACACACACACACACACACACACCAACCAATGCATACACCATAGACAAAAACAGAGCCAATCCACCAGGAACTGCTTTGTTCTACCGTCTCCCCTTCCTCTGATAAATATTCTCTTTCAGGTGCAAATAATCCAAGCTGTAGCTCCTTTGCTCCCATCAAAGCTGAGCATGTCATTCAAACAGAACGTACTGCGGGCAGTCTTCTCTCCTCAAAGAGCTGCTGCGTTCACACATCACATTTTTTTACTACGCAGGAGAAATAACATCCTGTCATCCTGCGTGATTTAGATGAACTTCGGTTAAAGACCCACAGAAGGTTTTTTTCCCCCAGACTTTAAAGTGTCTACAGTCAACCACATTGACAATACACTGTCCTAAAAATAGGAGTTTTTTGTCTAAAACAAGTTAAATGTCCTCTCCGACATGTTTATTCAGTACAACAGCCACTGCACAGCTTGAGAAACCAAACGGATGTAGACTCCCTAAATAAGTAGTTGCCTAACTTCTGGCCAGGGACCCCCTTTGCAAACCCATTCACAATGCTACAAAATCTGTAAAGAGACATTTTTTTTACTTTTATTCACCGTACCATAATTGTTACACTTAATTAGCATGAGAAAATTAAAAACAAACATGTGCTAGCTAGCTACACGCTAGCTTGAGGAGCAGAGCAGTTTGATAATTTTCTTCCCTCCGATTTTCTGAGGCCCCCATAGCGCCCCCTGGGAGCCCCCATTTTGAAAAAAACCACTGGTCTGGTCAACAACAGGATATCAAGAACACAACCTCAAACCAAAATGAGGATAAAAATTTAAATTTACTTTTAAAGTAAAACCATGTACTGTGCTTTGGTGACCCCTGGTATGAGAGACGGTATACTGTAGCATCTCTATAATAATCATGACTGAATTTGCTGCACGTCCTCTTCTGATCCAGCTGCAGTTTTCTAATGAGGTCATTCATTAATCATCTATTCTCTCCATGTCATTGGACTCACACAGCACAACATCAGTGCTTCTCATATGAGTTTTCTGATCATTAAGGTGCTATCGCAGGTCCCAGAGAAAACAGACATTATTAATATGCAAATGTGACGCTGAACAATCTAATCATGTGTGGAGTTGGAAGAAATGCCCTTGGTGTCACAGCTGGGTTCCTGCCAGGTTGTTTTTTTAGGACGATCACGGTACATGGCAGTGATGTTTTGAGAAAACAAGATTTTTGTTTCATTTTATTCACTATCAAATTTATATTGTACAACCCCAAATGATTTTTTTTCTACTCTCCTGTTCAAAGGATGCTTGTCAGAAACCTGCGTGTTACGAGAAGACAGTCACTCTGACCAAGGAACCCTACGACTCCTTGGGTATGACTGTAGCAGGGGGCATGTCCAGCCGAGGATGGGACCTCCCTATTTATGTGACCAATGTGGACACTGATGGAGTAGTGGCCCAGGAAGGCTCCATCCGCAAGGGTAAAAAAATTACCACCATTTTAGTAAAGTGAACCAGTTGGTCAGATCAATTGTCTCTTCTTGATGTACCAGATATTTTTATAACAGATGGACTGCAGAACAGCTGAGGTCACAGGTCACATCTCCTAATTTATGCAGAATGAGACTATACTTTTTTGATACATTCTGACTCCTCAATCCTAGGCTTAGTTACTTGTCTTTCACTGATAGTATGGATGGCATTTGTCATCTTTGCTGTGTGCTCCAGAAAAGGTCCCTGTCAATGAGAACCTAATGAGAACATTGACTTCATGTCAATTTCAGAGAATTCTGGACCCAGAAATCTATGTCAAGGCCTTCAACACAAACATATTTTAATGCTGCTGCAGGAGTCTGTGTCTTTAATTACTATAGTTTTCTGAAGCAGTTTTAATCCCACGTGTAGGTGTACTGTATATCACTGTGACACGGTGGCTTTTAATGCAGTAATGGCTGAAGGTCAAGCCCATTAGCAGCAGTTTCAGCCATTTGGTTTTCACCCAAAGAGAATTCTCCCGGCTGCCTAAATCTTTTCAGTGTTAATAACTGTAGATGTTGACAGTTATATACAGTCGGCTGGGGGGTGTTGAGCTGAAGGAACGTCACAGGCAGAAGATAGTGTGTCACAACTTGTGAGTGTTTTCACTTACTAAAACAATTAGGTTTGTCAGTGTAAAAAAGTGGAATTTTCTGTTCAAATATGAATTACCAAAGATTGATTTATATTGGTATTTGTTGTGTGGCCATGCCCTTTTGTTACCTGATGGATTTGACTATGGTGATGAATATTTAGAGAGCAAACAGTGGTGGTGGATAAACACTCTTTTATAATTTATTATCATGTTCATCCTGCAGAAACCTCAGTGCTTTATGAACTGGCTCCAACACAACAAAACAAAGTAAACAAACACTGGGTTCTGGAGAATGGGATTAAATTCAGCTTTTAATTCAGGCACATTACATTTATACTGATGTTTAATCCAGGTTTACAAACCACTCCCTCTGCAGCGTCCTCCTCCTTCTTCTGCACCAAAACTCTTCAAAACTCCATTGAATTGTGTTTAAAACACAACACAATTCCTACAAAAATACAAATCAATGACCTTTTTAGCTGACATAGTTTGACCTGCAGCACCCTCCCAGTCTCCTTCAATTTCCCCACCTCCCCCGAGGGGGGCTACATCTCACTTTGGGAACCACAAATTAAACCTATTGTTCACATATTTAACATTTTTATCACTGTGTTTTTAGGACTTGGGAAAAGTCCATGAGCTTAAAATGTTAAAATCAGCAATAAAATACAAGTAAGGAACATTGCTATCCCTTTTTTTATTAGTAAAATATGGTCATCTGTTAATATGCACACTATTTATGTTTTGTGTTGAAACAGATACTTATTTTGTATAAACATATTCACCGAGGTAATCGTGGCCTTTGATTTGCCCATACAGTAACTGCATCGTGCCATCTGTTTTTCTTGCTCCATTTTCATCACCAGGAGGCTTTCTGATGCGCAGGTGGTGTTTGGTTTTCATCCTCTTATTGTTCCAGCAGGTTGACTGTTGAATATTAAACAGGGAAATGATGAGACCCCGTCCAGCGAGGTCTCCTGAAAACCTGTTATCTGCCCGGGTGGATGACCAGCTGCTCTGTTCTCCTTCTACCCGCAGGTGACATCTTGCTAAATGTGAACGGGGTAGATTTGACCGGAGTGACGCGGAGTGAGGCAGTGACCAACTTGAAAAACACCTCCTCTCCTGTTGTGCTCAAGGTCTTGGAAATGCGCTCTCCTGAAGAGAGCCTCCAGGAGTGCACACTGCCGCCCTGCCTCACAAATTCACCTACAGATTCCACCAAGAGTCTGCTGTCTAACGACGACTACTCCCCTCTCTGGGTGTCATGGCTGCAGTTGCCCAGGTGATCTTCCATTCTAATCCATATTCATGTTTTGAACTTTTCCTTGGTCTCCTTCAGTTCACAGTGAGATGGACAGCCTCACGCTGCTCGCACTGACCTCGGCCAGCTGGGGCCGAGTGGAAATTTTGACAGAGAATCCTCATTATACTTGCAAACAACTTCTTAGCTTTAAATATTCATGTCTGTAAAAGTTTAATGTTTAGTTATGACTTTTATTACAAAGTATATGACAGGTATTTTTTGAAGAAAAAAATGGCTTTTCTTAACTGATTAGAAGTGAAGAGTTACTCATAATAATTTTAAGTAGTGTTCAGGAATATTCTAGACCAGGGGTGTCCAACTCATTTTCACATCAGCAATACAGTTCCCCTTGAAGAGCCGGTCGTAACTGGAAGATTGTCAGATTATCAGGGGTTCCCAACCCCTGGTCCGCAGACCTGTAGCAGTCCATAGGTCATTTGGTACCAGGCCGCAGTGGGACACAGTGAAAAAATGTACTTAATTCTTACTAATTTACTTCATAAAAAAAATCAATCCAGTCATATCCATTTCCTTTTTTATTTAAAGATAATCTGTCAATATTTTAAAAATAACAGATCATTCAGACTCTGATACAAACAGAATAGAGTCTAAAAGATGTTTTATTTTGAAAATGTAATGATCCTTCATAGAACTCCCATTATCTTTATTGTGTGTTGTTTCTCATGCTTTATTCACAGCGGTGTTTCTCATGTAGACATTTATAATACAGACAAACAGAGAGTTGGGAGACTGTATTTTTCAAGATTTCTCTCTTTGCCACTGCAGGCACCTGTACTGCTGCAAAGATATCGTCCTGCGGCGGAGCACGTCAGGCAGCCTCGGCTTTAGCATTGTGGGAGGTCAGGAAGAGGTCAACTGCAATCAATCCTTTTTTATCCGCTCCATTGTGGAAGGGACACCAGCATACAACGATGGCAGGATAAGGTAGTAACCCTGCGTGTCTAATTTATATTTTTTTAAAAGTCTGATAATATTCTTTACAAAATTCCACTGTTCCCCATGTACGACTCATTCCGATGGCCATGTGTCTCTGTGCAGGTGTGGGGACATCTTACTGGAGGTAAATGGCAAGAGCACTTGGGGTATGACTCACACAGCACTGGTGCGTCTTCTAAAGGAGCTGCGGGGCAGGATTACCCTGACCATTGTCTCATGGCCGGGCAGTCTGCTGTAGCTCTGCCCCAGGCCCTCCAACACTGCTTTAAGTGGCACAGACCAAGGAATGTGAACGGTAGAGCTTTAGACTGGCTGACATTTCTTAAGCTTGCTATGTGGAAGAAGCTTAGAATAGTACTGTAGCTCTATGGATATCTCACCTGTGGTGGACATCTAAGACTTTGTCAGGAGTTTAAAGAGGGGGGGAGCAGACCTGATTGTTACCTGAGATCAACAAAGCCCTCCAAGAATGCCAAACTGGAGAAATCCAGGCCTGATCAGGATGATGATGATGATGATGATGACGATGATGATGATGATGGACATTATCTGTTTGTGGTGATTCTCTGAACCAGCATTCAGTCAATACGTTTGGTGGCCGGAGAGGAGAGACAAAACGTTGCCAATTTCAGTAGTTAGTAGGGTATCTGTAAAGTTGGACTCACATTTCTTTACTGTACATGTTGGGTGTCTTAAAAGTACTGATCCAAGCACTTGTAATACATTTACTTTGTCGTCCAATGGCCTTTAAATAAGCTTCACCGGGTTTGTACTGACAGTGGTTGTTATCATCGTTCGTTGACCTGAGGACACGTTGCCAAGTAGTAGTCTGTGTTTAGGTTTTTTTCTTTACTTTCAAAAGCTATGGCTGAGTCAACACACCACTGGCAATGAAAAAAATAAAATAAAAACATAACAGATCAATGTGTTTATAACATGTTAAACTATTGACATTGTGGAGGCCTTACTTATTTTCTTACCTTTAAGAAAAAAAGCTGACTTTGTTTCCGTGTATCAGTGGATGGTCTCGGCCCGTCTGCTGTGGTTCTGTCTGTCATGCTTTGGCCTGTGTAATATATCTGATGGTATTTTTCTGGTTAAATGATCAATAAAGTCGACAAAAAGCTGCGTGCTGATAGGGTCTATTTTAGTGTGTTTAAATGACGTTCACTGAGACTCAAAACATAAATCCATATTTAAATCAATTATGCAACATTACCACTAGGTGTGCACCGTGGACCGTGTTTTTGATTGAGTTGGAGGTCACAAGCTAAACAAAATGCAATAAAAGACATTGTATATTCAATTATTACATCCCTAATATAAAAAAACTAAATATAATGTACCTTCATTTCTCTTACAAATCTAGAAAAAGACATAATATTGGAAATAAAATCTAGTTTTCTGTACTTTTGTGACCTTTTCCCATTTTAAAGAGGCCATCCAATGGAAAACTTTTCTTAAATTTTTTTCTGTGCAGCTGGAAAACCAAATTACCCATGGCCTGGTACTGGTCCCCAGCCCAGTGGTTGAGCTAACCTACTGACTAGATTTAAGCATCATTTAACATTACATACATTATTTAACTTTGCATACAGAAACAAGATCAACCATTTATAGCTATATTAGGAACCCAAACGTTGGCCAAAACCTAGTAAGAACAAACAAATGTATGTTTGTCAAATTTACCAAACAGGAGCAGAATATTTGTTTTCCAGTGTAGAGAACCTGACTCAGAAGATGAACACACTACAGTGGTGACTACAGGACAATAGGACCCTGGTTTGTCATACTGTTGTTGTTTCATGTCTGCTGTGAGCTTGATTGTGTGTAGGTGTGTGTGGGCGTGGCTGTCTCAACTGCTGCGCTGAGTCTGGGGCTGACGAGTGACGCACCTGAGGGCGGGTTCCTCTAATCAGCAGAGGAGGACATAAGGGCCAGCTCCACAAAGACTCAATGGCAGCGTGTTTGCCATGTTCATGGGGTAAAAGTTCAGCCACCTTAGATCTCTGATGTTTGTCTTGCTTGTCAGTCACCTTGCCTTGTGTTTTGTTGCTTCCAGAGATCTGGATACTTTGTCACTGCCTGCACCTTTTAGATTTGCCACTGTGGGCTCACCGATCACTGTCACCTGCACATACTATATATGGCTCCACCTCAGACTTTTTGCACTTTCAAAAAAACTACTTGGTTACTTCTTGTTACTACTTGTGTCTGTGCTGTGGTCGCTCTGCCAGGGGTGGGGTCATGACCCCAAAGTTGAAAAACACTTTGTTAGATGATGGAATTATAGGATTATACACTGCAATTTTCAAAATATTTGCATTCAAATCTTTTATGATTAATCACTAGAAATGAATGTATCAAATTAGCTGGTACAGTCCTATGATTGAGCTGCCTTTTACCTTATTGTTTTGTTTTTTTCTTTGCTTTTTCATGTTGCATTTCCTTCTACTGCCCCCTAGTTTTTTGAAAACGTCACATACACATAATATATTTTTGACACTTTTCACTGGTAGAACTGGTGGCTTTCAGTTGAATATACTCTGTGGAGGAGAAGGGGAAAAGCTTCGTGGCCACATGAATTACACTGCTGGCCTTTTTCCACATTCTCCACTGGGAGGGAGAGATAAGTCAGAATTCAAAGGACCAAACTTTACCACAGTGCCCAGGCTTTTGTAGCCTCCCTCTGGCTGTGACTTTGAGCAACAAAGAGCCCAGCATAAGTGTCTCAGCATGCGCCACATTAAAGTCATGCAGGCATGCTGTTGTACCCTTTAAGATTAAAAAAATAATCCATTATCCTGTGTGGGACAATGGGACCCATCTGTCACTGATATGTCACCGATCTGTCACTGCCTCGTGCACTTCCTCCCTCTATGACTCCACGTTGCCTTTCTTATCATTTTGAAAATTACAGTTTACAGTGATGTGCAAAAACGAGAGCAGCAGCAGTAGTAGTGCTAGCCTTTCTCTCGTCTGCTTCTGTCTCTTAAATCGTCCAGTTTGAAAGAGTAGAGAAAAAGTCGAAGCTGACTGTCAGCTAACACATGGCTAGAATAATCATTACCATTCAGTCAACCAACGCACAGAGAGGAGAAAAGGCCTGAAGGGCCAGAGATGTTTCAGGAACAACGTTTAATATGTTCAATGTTTAGAGGCAGCTCTTGCGTAAGTAGGAAGGACTGAGACCCAGCATCCACATTTGGTCCTGATTAATCAGCCACCTCACATATCAGCAAGACAACGGTCAAAGTGTTCCCAGGGAGACCGTGTTAGTAAGAGTGAATACAGGCAGCAGGCGCCCCTGGTTTTTGTTTTCACATTTCATCATTGTATTCATCAGCGGCCGCTCGGCCTGTCGGTGCAGGCAGTCCAACCGCATTCGTCAGATACCTGAGCCGACTGCAGCGTGATGCTGCTCGCTCCTGGAGACGCAGATGTTTTGGAGAGTCTTAGGATTAATATGAGCTCATAAAATAAACAACAAAGCTAAAGAGAGAGTCAGATGAAGAATGTTATGTCTGATGAGTCATTGATCTGGAGGTCTTTTTTTAAGCTGCCAAAAGAATTTAATGGAACGCTGGTACTAAAGAGTGCCAGAGTTTTTCTCTGGTTTAATTTTAAGAAATTGGCCAAAATATCTTATTGACATAAGATAAATATAAACTGAATTCAGCATGAATAAAGCAACATTATTTATTCATTCATTCATTGTTTACTTTGGTCAGACCTCCAGCTCACATCTGGGAAGAAGCAGGATACACCAGCTACAGGTGGCCAGGTCAATACAAGGCCACATACAAAGACAACAACATCCACAGTCACTTTGACCTTTCAGCTGACCTTAGAACCAACATGTACATTTTCAGACTTTTGGAAAAGACCATAGATCAATGTTTCCCAAACTTTTTTTCTGTAGACCTATATTTTAAAAGTCACAAACCTTCACGACCCGAGTCATAGACATTATTCGTAAACTCCTAGGAAACAATGTCGTAGAACACCTGTGAGTACTGGAGATGTATGAATTTAATTCAGAAGTTTGGAGACTGGCAGATTATAAATTAAATTTATTTATAGTCAATGTCAAAGTTCCAGACCTTCTCCCAATTATTAACAGAATAACCTGGTTCAAGATAAATCAATGAGTGATTTTAAATACTCAGTAACAGACCTGACTGGATCTGGGCTGAAAAAGAAGTACAGTGTCACATCTAAGGTGGGGAGAAGTAGAGGAAAGGACAGAGGGGGTAAAGTAAAAACATATGTCCTAGGTGAATTTGTGGGCCCTATGACAGACAGGACAAGTAGAAAAGTGGCATCAGGCACAGCAGCAGTTAATAGAGTAAATATAGGCCTTAGTGTGCCCAGTCTGTCAGTGTTGGAAACACATGGCAGTGTGGATCTGGCTGTTCCTCCTTAAAACTAAAACAGGACCTGGAAACCAGCCACTGTTGTTCCTTAAAAAAAAAAAAAAATGTAAAGGTTCATGAATAGTTTATTTAATAAAAATGAAAACAGACAAGGCTTTTATTTTTCTTCTGAGGAGGAATATTGATTTAATGCAAATCGAATGAGGGTTTTTATAGAGTGTAAAATTGTATTTCAGTACAATTTATCGTTCTGAATAACAATGTCCTGCTTGAGTTCTAATAAAACACTGCAGATACCCCAACCCCCATTGCCCTCCCACCTAAAAACCACCACCATCACCACCCCTCTCCCATCTCTTTCCTAAACTACTTGTCAACAATGAAATATACTTCAAACACTTTTAATATCGATTCAAGTGCAGGTTTAGAGAGAGGTTTCAGTTTTACCTGCTATTTTCTTTTTA